GTCGGGCCACTCTGCCATAAAGCCCTGACTGGTGGAGGGCTGCAGTGATGGTTGACTTTCTACAACTTTCTCCCATCTCCTGACTGCATCTCTGGAGCTCAGCCACAGTCATCTTTGGGTTCTTCTGTATCTCTCTCACCAAGGCTCTTCTCCCCCGATAGCTCAGTTTGGTCGGACGGCCAGCTCTAGGAAGGGTTGTGGTCGTCCCAAACGTCTTCCATTTAAGGATTATGGAGGCCACTGTGCTCTTAGGAACCTTAAGTGCAGCAGAAATTCTTTTTTTTTTTGTAACCTTGGCCAGATCTGTGCCTTGCCACAATTCTGTCTGAGCTCTTCAGGCAGTTCCTTTGACCTCATGACTCTCATTTGCTCTGACATGCACTGTGAGCTGTAGGGTCTTATATAGACAGGTGTGTGGCTTTCCTAATCACGTCCAATCAGTATAATTAAACACAGCTGGACTCAAATGAAGGTGTAGAACCATCTCAGGGATGATCAGCAGAAATGGACAGCACCTAAGTTAAATATATGAGTTTCACAGCAAAGGGTCTGAATACTTATGACCATGTGATATTTCAGTTTTTCTTTTTTAATAAATCTGCAAAAATGTCAAACATTCTGTGTTTTTCTGTCAATATGGGGTGCTGTGTGTACATTAATGAGGAAAAAAATGAACTTAAATGATTTTAGCATATGGCTGCAATATAACAAAGAGTGAAAAATGTAAGGGGGTCTGAATACTTTCCGTACCCACTGTATGACTTACTGGTTTCTTGACTCACACCTGTTGAATTAAAGTTTGTATCAGTTTGTTATCAACATCTGCCCTTCTCATCCTTCCATCTGTTAAAAAATGAATTTCTAAAAAAATGTGAAGGCCACATTCTGGCAGATGCCTGGAGTGCATTTTCACCTGTCTTCTGTTTGTGCTCCTCTCATGCCTGGTGGATTCTAGAGAACAGAAAAAACGCATCTGAGTCGCTCACCTTCTGTCAGGGCCTGCGGCTAGTGATGAGTCATGGACCATATGTCAAACTGGTCATCGGCTTCCTCTTCACCTCTCTGGCCTTCATGGTAATACTGTTTGCCTGATGTTGAGGTTATTTTGAATACATTTGAATAGTTATATTTAAAGGAACATTTTGGGAAATTCCTTATTTGCATTTCCTGTTGAAAGTGAGATGAGAAGGTTGATACCACACTCATGTCTGTATGGTAACTATGAAGCCCAAGCGGCAGCCGGCCGACTAGCCTGGCCACAAAGCATAGCTTCCAAAATATTGAACTAGTCCTTTAGCCGTGACTGTAGTTTGTTTAAAAATGACTTCTCTTCATTTGTTTTTACAGCTGCTGGAGGGAAACTTTGCCCTTTTCATAACCTACTCTCTTGGCCATAGGAATGACTTCCAGAATATTCTCTTGGTCATCATGGTGAGTGTTTCTGTTTTACACTGAGGGACTCCTGGATCAACATGAGATTTGGAGGATGTCCGTGCAATCTGCTGCATGAACCCCTGTTTCTGTCATTGTGTCCCTCCCGGCGTTTGAGGTTTTCAGTCATTACTTTGAAGCCTTCCCTCATATGTGAGTAGATGTATGACGCTGGAGTTGAAAGGGCCTCCTCCAGGGTTAAGACAAGAGCCCACACGCCACACTTTGGCCTTGTGCCTTGACCTCCTTCTGCCACGGTCGCTTTATTCTTTGTGGTTTCCACATTCCCCACAATGCTTAATGAAGCCCAGTTGGAATTTTGGTTTATTTTGGTATTTGGTGATTTCCAGCTGGGTGCTCCAGCTTCCTCCAACAGTCCAAAGACATGCCACTTAGGTTTACTGGTGACTCTAAATTGCCCATAGGAGAGAGGGAGTGAGTGTGTGTGTGTGTGTGTGTCAGCCCTGTGATAGACTGGTGACCTGTCCAGGGTGGACCCCTCCTCTTGCCCAATATCAGCTGGGATTGGCTCCATCCCCCCATGACCCTATTCAACATTTCCAGCTACTTGATAAGTAAATAAAGATCTTGTATTACAAAGTAATCAGGCCCTTGAAAACAGGGTTGATAATGAGGTGTATAGTACAGTGTTACACATTTATATTTTTCAACAAATGCGGCATCTTTGACCACATTCTTTAAACCGCTTTTATAAGAAGACATGGTTCTATAAGACCATATACACCACAGGATATGAAACATGAGCAAGACCAGAATTTCAAAATAGTTGATTTTAGTCATTGATTATTTATCTGGGAAAAGCTTTTTCTAAAGTTTGATTTTCACCAGAATGAAAAGTTGCATAAACTCTAGTAACAACATGCAAAAACCTGCACATGACCCAGAATATAATGTTAATGATCTGATCGTTGTTGGCTCTGGCCCTGACCATGCTGTGCCAGTGGTAATCCTTTTTCTTTGTGGTACATACAGATTGTTAGACATTATCTGCAACAATGTAAGAGTACAGACTTTTTTTTCCTTCTGTTAAATTGTTTATAAAAAAACATAACATGGTTTCAAGAATTCAGTATCTCAACCTTTTTCCTAGCGCTGCTGTAAACTCACCACTGAAACGCTATACTGGTAGGCCTAAGGATACGGTATAAACTGTAGCCTGTATCCATATAGTAATAATATGATGCCTAATCAGTTACCTGGAACGCCAACGGATTCATGTTAGACTGGAAAAATGCCAGTTCAAGACAATGCCTGAAAATGGATGCCAGCTGAATTGGATGACTCCACCTTGATCTAGTGAAACTTCACAGCTTCTTCTGATTGAATAGTTCCACATTAATCAGATGCTTTTGTTAACTTTGACTGACAATCAATTACAATTTGTACATTCTTTGTCTTTTTGCTCTGTTGTGACCTTGCATAATGACGTTTCATTAAGCAACAAGACTGATAATTCTGTGTCACATTTTCTTCCAGCTGTCTGGAAGTCTAACCATCCCATGGTGGCAGTGGTTTTTGACCAGGTTTGGGAAGAAAGCAGCAGTTTACTGCGGCATCTTGGTTTGTATTAGTACTTCTGTGTATTGTCATTATTGACTTTTTTTTTTTTTTGATAAATGATCATCTTTTCTTCTCATTTTTTGAGTCCAAAAATTGACACTGTTCAGTTTACAAAGAGATGAAATGGAGAAAAGCAGCAAACTCTGACATTTGAGAAGCTGGAACCAAAGAATGTTTAGTTTTACCTCTTAACTAACTTCAGTGGGGATGAGTTGATACATTTTTTTATAGTTAATTTTCTGTCAGTGAACTTATTGCTTAGGATTTAGTCAGTGCATGACTGTCCTCCTGTTTCTTTCCATAGTGGGCAGTACCATTCATGATCCTGATTGTCTGCACTAAGAGCAACCTGGTCATTTCATACCTGGTCGCAGTGGCAGCAGGTGTGAGTGTGGCGGCAAGTTTCCTCTTGCCCTGGTGAGCACAGGTTCTTTCAGGGTCTGTCCCTAGATCCATATACAGATGTATCACTGCTAGATTTTGGTTGATTGTGTCTTTTGGTTTCTAAACATTGTGTTTGTGCTTCCAGGTCAATGCTTCCTGATGTAGTAGATGACTTCAGGATCAAGAATCCAGGCGTACACGGTCATGAAGCCCTGTTCTACTCCTTCTATGTGTTCTTCAGCAAGTTTGCCTCTGGAATATCCTTGGGTATTTCTACCCTCAGTTTGAAGTAAGTTTACTGATCTGTCAATATCTGCAGCAGCTGTGTCATATTCTCGTGCACGTGTTTGTTTTCATCTTCATCCTCTTGAGGTGACCAACAATCACATAAATCCTGCAACTGACCATCCTGCAGGATTGGACTAGCATCAGCTTAACCATTCTCCCTCTATCTTCATGTTTTCGCAGATTTGCTGGCTACGTGACCGGGAGCTGCTCGCAACCCAAGGAGGTCAGTTCAACCTTGAATGTGCTGGTCTCTCCCGTGCCCGTGTGTCTTATTGCTGTGGGACTGTTGATATTGAAGACCTACCCAATTGATGAAAAAAGGAGGCAGAGCAACCGCAAACTACTGCAAAAAATCCTGTAAGTGAGGCGTGAAATGCACACACGAGCATTCGCAAACTTAACAGTCAGGACATCCAAACAAGTGAGACTCATGCATGACCACAGTAAACAAATCAGTGAGCTGCTTGATTCAGTTCCTCTCTGTATAACCTGAACTAAATTCAAATAAAATCCTTCAGTAAACCTTTGCTTTGCACAAGTCCTTCTGTGTGTGACTCTTGGCTGTTCTCCTGTTTTGTTTTTTTTAAACAGGGACTCTGATTCTGATTCTGAAACTTCAGCATTTGGGAGTCAAGTTTAGTGACGGAGGACAGGCCGACTGCCACTGCTGCTGTTTGCATGTGTTGTCATGGGGCAATGACCAGCAACTGTGTGAACTAACTGAGGAGGAACCACAGACCGCCGCTGCTGCCCAAACATCCACATTACAGGCTCCCCACCAGTGGATCACACAGGTTTACACCTCCCTCTAGTGACCAGCCAGCATCATTGTGTCTGTGTCTGTCTATTTACTGTTGTCCTTCTTCTACAGTTGTGTCCCAATCAAACCGCATCTTATTATTTTACCAGTTAGTGTAGAGCCGATGTCTGTTTTTCTTGCTTTCACTTCATAGTATGCTTCATTATTTTGTGTGGTTTTCTTTTGATATCTATACTTTAACCTACATGAGTATTATCAACCATTGAACAAGTAAAATCTGATCACTCCATCTTAATGAGGATAAAATACATTCTTGTTGGGATTCAGCACCTACAGGTTCTAGTATATGTGACTAAGACTCATGGGAGCTGTAGTCAGTTTTACTCAACAAAGAGAAATCAAACTATTTTTCCAAAAATGCATTTGTTTCCTCACATGTTTGTGGAGTTGTCTACACTTTGTTTTACCTGTCCAGTTGTATGCAGTTCCGGTGTGCATTACTTTGCAGGACAGCAGTACTCACTGACTTCCGTTTTGTTACTCCTAACTGGGACACAGCTTGTGACTTTTTGTTCATAAAGTATTTATTTGCCGCTTGATGAAATCAGACCTCTACTCACAAAGCAAGCTCGAGTGTGATGTTTCCTTTAAGTTGGACATGTCTGAGTGAACATGTCAGACTTTCCATTCAGAGTGCTCTCATAAGCTTGTAGTATGAGCCCTTATTTATAAAGGGCTTACTTAGACCACTCATCTGAGTTGTGTGGAGCTGTGATACAATTTCTACCTTTATTTGTATCTTGTTTTCTATAGATCATTCATAAAGGCAAATATTTGAAGTGTACCTGAATCTTCTGAAGGCGCTTCATGGTATGATGTACTGTACGGAGGTTCTCTGAATCACTGCCTTACACACACACACACACACACACACGCACACAGTTGCAATACGATTGTTTCTTTTTGCTACTGAGAATGTTTCCTTCACACCTCTTTGTGCTTTAACATTTTAACCAATCTCTGTCAGGTTTAATAGATGTTTCAAAATGTGCTTTTACATTGAAGTCACTTAGCATCTTCTCACTTTCCAAGGGAGGAAGATGCTTTAACTATTTATTTAAACCGTGTAAGGGATTATAATTTTTTTTATGTGTATATAATAATTTATTAAGTGTTCTGGGGAAAGATATTTGAAAATATCACAACCTGCTGCAATGTGAATAAATGAGCTGTCTTTGCAGTATTGTAACTGCCAGAAACAGCAACACAGTTGCAAGTTATTCAGGAGACTTTTGTCCTCTCATTCAATGACATGATTCAACTTAAATGACCACAGTCTCCTGGCTAACACATTGGGTTATAGAGATTTGAAAAAAGATCTCTAAATCTTTATGTATTCCTGCATCGTTTAATGAACTTGTATTAAACGAACTGAAGGAAGCATGTCGCACATCTCCTTGGTGCTCATAGTCTGCAGTATGTATAAATTGTAAATACTTTTTATAAGATGGACCTTGAACTATATATATATATAGATTGGTGACAATGTGCTATACATTTGAAGTCTGTGAATAAAAGTTTGTTAAAACAGAAAAGTCATACTTATTTGTAATATCATTAAGCCATTATTATTATGAAATGTATTAAATTAATTCTGTTTAAAAATATGAACTGCATGGATAAAATGTTTAAACGAAGAAACCAGTAGTCCCAGAACTGCCACCGGTTCCATTAAGAGATTGAACAAGGAGGTTACTTGGTACGTCAGACGTATCCCCCGTTCATAACCTCCAGCTGTGTAGTGTTACGCGCAGATTGAACGGGAAAGGTGGCAGGACAGTCGTCTGTTGCGATGAACATAAAGTGGTATCTCTACATTTTGTGGAGTGTTTTATTACTTGGTCTCCTCAGCTGTGCAGCGGACACTTATGAATCTAAGTTTACTAAAACGAAAAACGTTTTCAAACTGCGCACGTCAAAGTCCAAGACAATCAAACTGTCTCTGCCAGGCGACAGAGAACCCAGTCAGGGATTATCCGCAGGCGCCTCTGCATCGTCTCCTCTTGGCTCCCAAAGGCCTGACCCTCCTCCGCCACTTGCACCACTTCGGTTCGTGCGCCCAGGAAAGCCCGAGGCAAACATTCAGTCGGATTTTGCTTATGTCCCAGACGTCTCTGTCACTTGCTCCACATCTGACTTTGTCGTACGGGTCAAACCATCTTTTTACGGTCTGGGCGCAGATGCGGAGGAGCTGAAATTAGGCAGCAGCTGCAAAAGCAACGGGGTTCTCAGACCATACGGCGACCTGCTTTTCTCCTATCCTCTGACAGCGTGTGATTCCGTGAGGGAGGTAAAAATGTTTATTTGTGCCATTTGTTTCCGGAATCTTGAAACCCCGCATCTTTAACCTTGTAATCCCATTTACCCCCTAACAGCTGCCCCACGGTTATCTGCTCTACAAGTTCGTGCTGCGTTATGAGCCTTCGCCGAAACGGTTCCCAAACAGAGCGCACCCGGTCGATGTCGATATTGAATGTCGTTATCAAAGGTTATAACTTGTCTTAGTTATTTTAAACATGTTCAGTGTGAAGGCCTACTACTTAGAACTTGCAAAACCCTGTTCAGGAGCCGCCATGTGTACCAATTGGCTGTAAAACCCACCTGGCAAACTGTTGTTGTGCGCAAACGGCTGAAAGGGCGTCCCAGTGACTTCCAGATCGAGCTGATGGATGGTATGTGATTGTGGTGTTTATAGTCACTGCATTATTCACTACAGTATTTTTTATATGACTAAAATACGAATGATTTGGTTTTATATGATGTGCCACAATTAATCAACTCTTAGATTCGTGGAGCAAAGCAGCTACGTCCCGGGTGTACCTGCTCGGACAGACCGTGAATTTGCAGGTCACTTACCTCCCCACCGGAGAAAAACTGTACATCAGTAGTTGCTATGCTACACCTTCAAGTTATTATAAGTCATCCCTCAAATACACAATCATAGACAATTTTGGGTATGTACAATATTTAAAATCTCTTGCTTTTGCCAATGTTGTCTTTATTGGTGATTAACTGGGATCAGTCCCATGTTATTGTCATCCATAGCTGTATGCTGGACAGCAAGAGTGACCCAGGGGCCTCTCAGTTCATCTCTTGGACCAACAAGACCATGCGATTCTCTATAAAGGCCTTCCAGTTTACTGCTGACCCGGACACTGAGGTAAACTTGAAGCAGAATTATCTGGAATCTCACAGTAGCAACTGTGACTGAACCCTGTCGTCAATGTTAGGTCAGAATTCACTGCAAATTATCCATCACATCAGAGGACCCGGGTCCCACACACAAGTCATGCACCTACAGAGGGAACAGGTGAGTCTTGGCACTGAATTAATTTCTGTTCCAGGACTATGCAAAATGTTTTTCTGTTGTGTCCAAGTGCATTGAGCATATTCTGTCTGCCATAATACTGTAGGTGGGAGGCCCTGACTGGTGATGACTCCATATGTGACTGCTGTGATTCAGTGTGTGCAACCTATAAACCCCAGAGGGCTGTGATTGAAGGTTTGTCATGTCCTTTTTTTTCATGCTTTGAGATTTTAAGAAAATACTTAAGCATCCATTCCTACTCAGATTTACCAGAGATGTTGTAGTTGCTTTAAGGTGCCTGGCCTCTGTTAAACATCAAAAATGACACTTGACATCTTTAAATCCTTTCAAGGCTCTGCTAGCACTAGGTCATTGTTGGTGTCTGATCAGCCATACACAGCAGAAGACAGCTCTCTCCCCGTCAGACCTTCTTCAGTCAGTATAAGAGAAGGCGAGGCCATCGTATATCGTTACACTGATGAAATTCACAGCCATGAGAACCTGTGGGAACATGCAGATGTAATAAAGTATGATGGCAAAGAACAGGAAGGCCACATGGAAGAGGAGTTTGAAGAAGGAGGCAGGGTTATCCTTGCAGGAGTGACAGAGCCTGACGTCTTAGGGGAGGAGGAAAAGTCTGAAGCCACGTCAAATGTGTTAGGAGAAGCTCGATCAGGAAATGAAGTAGCTAATTTTTTAGGGCGTGAAGAACAGGAAGAAAGAGCTGAGGGAAGAGAAGATGAGATCTCTGATGTGGGGCAGATGAAGGAAGGTGAAGTGCTCCCTGACTGGGCACAACTGGGGCAAGTAAAAGTCAGTACACAGAGAGAGGCACAGCTACATAATGCTACAGATGACACAGTCAGGGGTGAAGAAGAGAGAATGAGCATCTCGGAGACAGAATGGAAGAATGATGGCCTGGCTGATATAGCAGACAATAGTGAGATGACCTGGTATTTCACATGGACGTAGTATCAGAGCAGTGAGTCGATCAGCTTAACCTCTAGAGTCCCTGCGTCCTCATATGAGGACCGCACAGCTTGGGTTTCCAAAGCTCAGGACTCTAGAGGTTATAGACTGCTGTGACCATAGCAGGTATCTATTCTGACTCTTTTCAATAAACATGAATATGCAGTTGGATTTTTGTCATTTGTTTTCAAAAACATGAAAATGTCAGCAAATCTAAAACTTGTGGCTCAGAAGGCTGAAAAAAAAAGCATGCAAATGTAAAGGAAACGGGCAACAGTGAATCAGACTGACAGGAAGTTTGGAAAACAAAGGATCCTCAGTCACTGCAATGGTTTCATCTGACCATAAATCTTTATTCTTTCAATTATAAATGATCATTTCTTACATTACAATCTTTGAGACCAGTCTGGAATATATTATAGTTTTAACAAAAATATCCCACTGTTTGACCCTCGGTTACTAAAAGCAGCACAAAATGCACTCCAGTACTTCTTAACATGCCTGCTCGTTGTTTATTAGTTGTCATGCGCATAGATAAGTTGGAATCATAAAGTTTAGTGGGATTTTAAGGAAAATCATTTGCATATGATTGAGATGTACAAACAAACTTGATTTGTATGATAAAGGTTTACCACAGCATTGCCAAGAAGACCTTCCGTCTGTAGAGACACTCCTCAGAACATGACGGGGAAATAACTTAGGATATTTAATAAAATTGGTGTGGAAAAATACAAGACAGAACTCTATAGTGCAGATCCACGTTACTGATAAATGTACAAAATGTTGCTATATTTACAGATGAGTGCCCAAAAC